CACACACACACACACACACACACACACACACACACACACACACAAAGCAGGGAGTCAAGCATAAAGGGAGCAAGAGGTAGAAAAACCCTGCAACACATCAGAGCCCACCTCCCTTGTTCCTTCTTCCCTCACTCTTTTTCACCCTTTTGGCACTTTTAATGGCATAAAATTATGGGCCTGAAAGAGCGACAACAACTGTCTAGATTTAAAGCATAATACGTTGACAGGAGTGACACGGCCATTTTCTCCTCCTCCATTAGCATTGAGATGCGGCCACCTCCTTTTGCTCTTAAAAGAGCCAAGCGCCGTGGCAGGCTACAGTTGTCAGACGTCACTTCCTCTGTYATTACTCGCTGACACGCGGACTGCCGCTGCTTTCATACCGACTAACAGCAAAAATATCAAGGTGTCTAAAAGGATTTAAAAGCGAGCRTTCCATATTGTTACTTTAATGCGCACTAATCGCTTAGTGGGTGGAAACATTTGGAAAAAAAAAAACTTTAGCGCATGTTTGAGGATTTTTGGTGAGATGGAGACAAGCTACAAAATCAAATGAAAGCTGGAACAATCTGTCATTTTTAGACTATTATGAAAAAAAAAGATTAATAATATGAAACAATGGATCTAACAGGTGTGACGGTACCTTTGAGGCAGTGCTTATTAGGCTGAGTTCACCTGAAACTCATCAGACTGAAGAAGTCTCTTGGAGGAGAGACGAAACGTTTCACTAAAGAAGAACCCATCCAGAGGACCTACTTATTATTTCTTTTTGATTTTTTCTACCTGGATTACTGAGATGCATCAGGAAACATTACTCATATATACAGGATAATTATAATTACTTACAAATAAACAAGAAATCAACAAAGAAAACAGTTCGACCTTCTTACACTTGTGTCCGAAATGAAGAACTGTTGTACTCTGTATTCTCTCTTGTTCCGCTGCATTAGTGCTGTTTTGTTTATGAGTATTATTTAAAATAGATACACAACTTTTAATACACACTCCCTGTACAAATCAGGCAAACACACTCATTAACATTTTCTTCTGTATAAGTTACTGTGGGGAGGTGTGAGGTTATCGTGTTGTGTATAATACTGTATGGAAAATGAGACTGAATGGCCCAGGAAGCCTCCACTGACTTGTCTGTAAGGAGCCTCATTAGGGACATTGATGGATGGGCTCTTGCTACCACTGGGCTCCCCTAGAAAGGCTCTGGGTATTATTAGTGTTTGTGTGTTCCATAAACTGACACTTAATTACAGGTGCAAAAATCATAAAACGAACCAGACTAACAAGTTACAGACCAGCGGGTTTTATTTAGCTTGGATTTTTAACAGGAACAATGAATGGAAACAAAACGGTGTTGACAAGTTAGACAATTCTTCATGATGCTGTGGGTGCAGAGTCCATCTGATTGGCTAAAACATTTGTTTTTTTTCACACAGACATTAATGCATGGCACTTAGCAATGCTAAATCAGGCAAAATGTTATTGTGATGATCCATTTTCTTGTATATCATGTTCCTATCAAATATAAAAATATATGTTTCTTGAATAAGGATATTTTAAAGTTTCAAAAAAAAAAACATAAATGATATGGATTGTTGTTGTCAGTTGACAAAAATTAAAATAAAAGTTTGAAAGGGGTGCTCTGAAAATAA